TTGTTTTGTTTTGTTTAAGAACTCTCGTTCCACATTCAGACAGAGTTATACTACTGACACATTTAAATTCAGCTATATGCATCCTGGGTCGTTTTGGAAATCCAGTTAAGTGCATTTTGAACCTTATATTGTTTTTGTGTTTCTCTTCAATCCTTTTATATTTTTGGGGGGTTGAGGGGTAGAGGTGTGGGCCATACCTAATGTGCCCAGGACTTACTCCTCCTTTGTATTCAGGGATCAATCTTGGAAGGACTCAGGGAAACACATGGGGTAAGGGCAGCAGGGGATCGAGCCCAGTGCAGCTACATGCAGAGCAAATGCTCGACCCACTGTACTATCTCCCTGGCTCCTCTTTCTGATTTTTTCAAATTTTATTATTTATTTATTTATTTATTTTTATCTTATTATCTCATTCTTACTTTGGACAACCTGACAGGCTACTGAATGTAACCTGCCCACACGGCAGAGTCTAGCAAACTCCCCATGGTATACCCAATATGACAAATGCCAGTAACAATGATGGGTCTCATTCTCCTAACCCTGAAAGAGCCTTGAATGTGGCACTTTTTAAAATCTCAGGGCTGGGGCGAAGGAGACGTTACTGGTGCCTGCTCGAGGCAATCGACGAACAACAGGATGATCGTGATCGTGATTTTATTTTGTTTTTAAATGGGCTGGAGCGATAACACAGCAGGTAGGGCATTTGCCTTGCATGCAGCCGACCCGAGTTCTATTCCTCCACCCCTCTCGTAGAACCCAGCAAGCTACCAAGAGTATCCTGCCCTGGCAAACTCCTCATGGAGTATTCGATATGTCAAAAACAGGAACAACAAGTCTCACAATGTTACTGGAGCCCACTTGAGCAAATCAGTGAACAATGGGAGGACAGTGCTACAGGACAGTGCTATTTTTTAATGAATAACCGTGAAGTGCAGTTAACAGACTTACAAACTTTTTCGTGCTTACATTTCAGTCACACAGTGATCGAGTACCCATCCCTCCACCAGTGTCCCTGGCTCCTCTTTCATATTTTTACTTTTATTGCCTTCTGTGCGTCCCCTCCCCACACCCCAGCTTATTCTTTCCTGGCTTTTGTCTAACATCTTTAAATCATTCATCATGTTTCTTTTTACAACATTGTTGAGGCATTCTGTCACTGTCACTGCCCTCCCATTGTTCATCGATTTGCTCAAGCGGGCCCAGTAACGTCTCCATTGGAGACTTTGTTGTTACTGTGTCTGGCATATCGAATCCGTCACGGGGAGCTTGCCAGGCTCTGCCGTGCGGGCGAGATACTCTCGGTAGCTTGCCGGGCTCTCCGAGAGGGGCGGAGGAATCGAACTCGGGTCGGCCATGTTGGCTGTGTGCAAGGCAAACGCCCTACCTCTGTGCTATCGCTCCAGCCCAAGGCATTCTGTATATAAACTAAACTAGTGTATTTACAGTGTCCAGTTCAGTAAGCTTTGGCATGTGTGCCCGAAGTCATGCAACCTAATGAGCACGCCTGTCTCCTGCACCCCATCCCCACCCCCCACACACACCACCAAATTTTCTTCAGTAATGTTTACAAACTCTTGCCTCTTGCTGCCCTTCCCAAGTCCCCAGGCAGCCACTTTCTGTCCCTACAGTTTACATTTTCTAGAATTCTATGCAGAAAACAACACTTTTGTGAGGAGTGGGGTGGGGCAGAGGGGGATGCATCCACCCCCTGTGCTCAGCCCTGGGCACAGGGGGTGGATGCATCCCCCTCTGCCCAGGGCTTGCTCCTGGCTCTTTGCTCCGGGATCTCTCCTGGCTCTGTGCTCAGTGATCACTCCTGGCGGTACTCAGGATTCAAACTGGAGTTGGCCACATGTAAGGCGAGCATCTTACTCTTGTGCTGCCTAGCTCTCTGGCTCCAGATCTCCTCTTTAGCCCACTTTTAACGAAATTCTGAAAGTTGGTGTGTCTGGGGTCAAATAGGTAGTGTGAATGGGGCATTATCGAGGCCTGGCGGGCCTCTCTGCAGTTAGCACCATGGCTAGCTCCCGTGCTGCCTGCCTGTACCTGAGCCAGCTCTTCATATATGAACCCCGTAATGAACATGGGCCTTAGGTATGCTCGGGGTGACTCAGCCTCTATGAGGGGGTATGCCTACTCTCTTGAAAGCTGAGATCTTGTGTTTGAAAAAATCTTAATTATATTTTTACAGTAGTGGTTTTTACACGGTGCATAGCCTGCTTTATTTCAGAAATGCAATTCAGCTGGACGCTTGCTTCAAGCTTAGGAGTCACACCCACGATGGACTTCACGCTCCTTCCGTGGCAGTTTTAAAATGACCTGGTCTGCTCTAGTGCTTGAGAGGGAGGCTGCAGCCGAATTTCCCCCCGGGTGGTTTAAAATTTGGACTCGCCCAGGTTCCTCTCAGATCTCTGAAGCTTAAATTGCCCTCTGGGTGTGAGGTGAGGAATCTGGGGATTTAAAGCCTCTTGGCCCCGGGGATCCCCCCGGGAACCATTCAGAGTTGTCAGCCAGATCTGCTCCCCTGCACCGCCCACAGGAAGAGCCCCTTTATACAAATGCACACTCTGCTTTCCGGCCTGCCTGGGCTGCTGTGTCTGTACATTTTTCTACTTGGTTAAATGGGCACATTTCAGTTCTGCTGTTCCTTATAGTCTTGATTGGCCCCAGCCATTTGCTCCGACTATATTCACCAGGATGTGAGTGACAACAGGCAAGGAGAAAGTATCACCTTTGGCACAACCCTGTGAATAAAACCTGGACATCTGCTGGGCCCCTGGCTGCACCATGCGGCGGGATTTTAACTGGCAAAATGCAGGTCCAGAAGCCTGTGGTGGCAACCCCCTGTGGACCGCAGCTGCCCCGGCTTTCCTGGCCGTCCCTGCCCTGTGCTGTTTTCTGCCTCATTCATCACTCCAGAGAGACCAGGGGAGGCGCTTGGTCATGTAGTATACTCAGCAGCCACCCTTTCTTTGACTTGCAGTGTGCAAATGCTCTGGGCCCGACACCAGCTCTGCAAGCTGTTGCCTTTTGGGTGGGGGTGGAGGGGGCGCTTGACGGCGGGGCTGGTAGTGGTGGGGTGAGTCGACCAGTTTCACTTGACTGATGGTATCTTGGTATGAAGGCTTAAAATGGAATCTTGAGTTAACATGCTGCAGAGGTGGTCAGAAAAATGAGTTCAACCCAATGTTTAGTTCTATACTGCACATCATGTGAATTCTGCAAGTGAATGGAGTTTGGAAGGCCATTTGATTTGGGCCAATGAAGCCTGATCCTACGTTTTTTAGAGAAAAGTTTTAAAATTTTGAGTAACAGAAAGTGATTATTTATATTACCTATAATCACAGATAGAGATAGCATTATAAAGTAGCCATAAAGATTATGTAGCTTTGTCATGCTGTTCAGTCATTCTGTAATCCAATGGATTCAGCAAGATTAATTTGCCTTGTAAACACGACTGCACTCGGACCAGCCAGCTAGAGCAATAGCACAGAGTGTAGGGCGTTTGCCTTGCATACGGCTGACCCGAGTTCGATTTCTCCGCCCCTCTCAGAGAACCCAGCAAGCTACCGAGAGTATCTTGCCCACACGGCAAAGCCTGGCAAGCTACCCATGATGTATTCGATATGTCAAACACAGTAACAAGTCCCACAATGTTACTGGGCCCGCTGGAGCAAATTGATGAACAACGGGAGGACAATTTTGTAAAGTTACTCTCCCCCAGTAGCTTTTGAGTCTTTGTGTTTCTCAGAATAAGGAAGGGAGAGATGGTTAAATGCTCAGCACTACTTCTTTACCGGATATTTGTGCACTGAATGCCTCTGTCTTTCCTTGATACTGATTATCTTCCTATTTATTTCCGCCAGGGAGTAAGAAAACTTGTACATCCAGTTACTTTACGTTTCCTTTTTTCCTGTTGTTTTTTCCCTGTCCCTTCTTTCCTTTTCCTCCTGTATTTATTCCTTTATTTGGGTATTAAGTGCTTTTCATGGGATTGTTTGAGAACTGAGAATCTCTATACCTTCAGCCCTCAACTTCCTGGGCTTTACTTCTGGTAGAAGAGTCAAAGAAATAAACATGTATCAGCTTGTGTAGACAGTCACAGCTTAGAGAAAATGTTTTGGGCTCCCCCCCTGCCCCCTTTCACTGGTTGATAAAAAAAACTGAGCAGAATCTTTTCTTTTTTATCTATTTTTTAAAATCAGGAGTGACTCTTGGGAAGTCTTGCTGATAAGGAGAGCATAGCAAAGGAGAAGTTCCTAGAGGAGAGAGAGACATGCGAGGTCTTTGCCATTTTTGTTTCTTTAATAAGGTTCATCATTTGTTAAAAACAAAACAGGAAGGTACAGTAATAGGCACTGATGTTAACAGTCTGGACTGAAGTTTGTGTGATTGGTGATTGCTTTTTTATACTCAGGAAAAATAACATACTCGGGGTGGGGGCGGAGGGTATATTGTTAGTTTGAGACACAAGAAGGAGATGCGAAATAATAATTTTGGGGAGAATGTTGCCTTGGATTTCAGATCCTGTGGGACTGTGAGGTAACACTGTAATCTGAGAATTACATTCCCTAGAAATGTTACTCTGTATATGACAGATCAGTGAGAACATCCAGTATTTGTTTTTCTGATTTACTTCACTTAAAGCGCAGTCCTCCAGTTCCAATCCAAGTTGCAGTGAATTTCCTTAGTGTCTTTCAATAATGCTTTCCTGAATGTCCTTTCCGAAGTATCTTCTTGATCCATTTTTTAAAAGTTTGATAGATGCTAGGATTTTTTTTGATAATCCTTACTTAAATAATTTTAAAACGTTATTAATGTTCCTTTGCATGATTAAGAAATCATGTAGTAATGATTTCTTAAAAGAGCAAGAAAAACCATCTGTCTTAATACCAACTTCATAATATTGGTAGCCATCTGGTAGGAACTGTATCTGTGAGATTTTTTAAAAATATGTATATTTAACCAGGTTTCCCCCCACCCTTTCTTTGTCTTCACAGCTGATCTAGCAGCCTTAATGGATAAAACATATGACAGAAAGTTGCCGGTTAGTTCTTTAACGATATCCCGGGTAAGATAATTTAAATATATATGTTTTCCCAAAAGGGAGGTTCTTTATATCGATGAGACTCTGTAAATTAATATATATATATACATATATGTATATATTGCATAGGAAATAGTTATCCAGAAAATATTTTTTAATAGATATTTTTATGGTGAGGTCACAGATTTACTCGGCTGACCTAAGATAATAAATTGATGGACAACTGTGTCAGTGATCACTATTGTTTACCTAACTTACCTGATTTAGTTTTTTCAGGATATGATATTCTGCTGTATGGGACCATGCTTTTTCAAAAGATGGATCATTCTCAAAGTAATAGTATTTACTTAATATCGAAATTGGTTTCTACGGCCAGACAGATAGTACAGTGGGTAAGGCTCTTGCCTTCCATGCAACCAACTTGGATTTGATCCCTGGCACCCCATTTAGTCCCCCGAGCCCTCCAAGAGTGATTCCTGAATGCAGAGCCAGGAGTAGGCCCTGAGCACTACTGAGCATAGCCCCCAAACAAAAACAAAAAGTGGTTTCAGTAGCTAAGAAAGTCTATAAACATCTACATTAATGTTAGTGTTAAACTGAATGCCTTCTCAAAGATTGACTCATTTTGTAAAATACATTCTCTTGATTTTCATTTTGGCCATGTGACTTAAATTGTTATCAGTTTACATGACAAAGTCAGAATGCTTGATAACCAGGAAAAAGTAGCATTCCAAACCCAGTACTAAGTGATATCAAAGTGTCTTTCCAAAGTTGCCTCTGAAGAGACAGGTCTGTTCCTGTCTTTGATTGTGACCTCACTAGCAAATTAGACTGCTGACCTTCTCCTCAGTCCTAGTATGGGGAATGTCTGGCCAAATGGGCTGATGGGATGCTAGGACAAGACCTAAGCTATGAAAGTTCTTTATAAAAATTAATGACATCACAGAGTTCAAGGCAGTAATCCATCTAGAAGAGAAAAGAAAAGAAACTACAGTAAGTCCTTGCTTAACCTCATGGATGGATTCTTACAAACTGCCACTTGAAGTGAAACCATTTTCTCATAAGAGCCCCAGATATGTCGTGGCAGGTGCCTTAATTCTCTCTGTGCAGATGGAGCAGCTAAGATGCAGAGGGGCGATGCCATCTGTTTGTGCCACACAGCAAATGAGCTAGCTCACAACATCACGTCCCGTGCATGAACTTGATGTTTTTCGGACCCTTACTGAGATTTCTGAATTTATAGCTCTCCCATGTTCTTTAGGAAGTTTGTCGCTTCTCCTTTTCCCTCTTTATGAGGATTTAATTATATTCACAACATATTCTTTTTAGCCTCTGAGTCTGCTTTAGAGTCCATCCTGCAAATAGTCCTTTTTGTTCGTTTGTTTTAGACTTACAAAGCAAATGCAGGAAGTTTATTGGTGAGAGAGACTTAGCAGAAGAATCACAGGTTGTCCAGAGCAGAGTTTAAGTCAGAGTAGGGGTAATGGTTTCCAGACTGAGTTCTCTCAATTGAAGTTTCCAACTCTTGAACCATATTTTTTCAGCCATTAGATTCTTCATCCTTTCAGCCATGTTTCCTTTGTTTTAGGAATTGGAACAAAGGAAAAATTTCAGATTTGAAGGTCAAGGGGAATGTTGATAGCTAGTTAAAAATGTACCAGAAAACCCTTTCTCTTCTGAGCAGGGTTTGTTACTGGTTTTCAAGTTTTGTAACCAAGGTCATTCTATACATAGAAGAAAGGGGTCATCAGCATATTTTGCACTACTGTGAATAGATTTTAAGGAGCACCTTATGAACACTGCTATTTAAAATGGGAATTTGCAGGGCTAGAGAGATAGTACAGTGGGGAGGGCCCTTCCATCTAGTTTATCAGGAGTAGTTCTTGAGTACAGAGCCAGGAGTTACTCACAAGCATCACCAAGTGTGGCCCAAAAATCAAAAAAAGAAAGGGGACTTGGTGTTTTTTTTCCCCTAAGGTTTTTGTATAAATTAGGTCTAAGATGTGACATTTGTATAGAAAGATTCCTTTTATGTTTTTCAGTTTGTGGACAACATTTCATCTCGAGAAGAGATAGACCATGCTGAATATTACCTTTACAAGTAAGTTTTCTACTTTATTGGGTATGTGCTCCTCTAGTTTATATGTTAAGTATGTGTTTTAGAGCTACACTGATGACAGTATATAGAAATTCCTAAGTTTTTTATAACTGTAGCACTGTCGTCCCGTTACTCATCCATTTGCTTGAATGGGTACCAGTAACGTCTCCATTGTTAGACTTGCTGTTACTGTTTTTGGCATATCGAGTATGCCACAGGGAGCTTGCCAGGCTCTGTCGTGGGGGCAGGATACTCTGGGTAGCTTTCCAGGCTCTCCGAGAGGGACGGAGGAATCGAACCCAGTTCGGCCGCATGCAAGACAAACCCCCTACCTGCTGTGCTATTGCTCCTATGATAGTCATATTATGAACGCTATTCTATTTCATATTATGGATATATTATTTAAGTCCGTGTTCTATTTTTTGTTGTTGTTGGCTGTCAGAATTATTTACTGTCAACTATGAATGAGTCAGTATTCTATTTTTATTTATTTATTTATTTATTTTTAATTAGTGAAACACCATGAGGTACAAGTCAGTATTCTATTGAAGAGTCTTTTGGTTGGTTGATCTGTCTTTGTATTATATACAATATAAAAAGCCACACTGTCACACTGCCCTCCCATTGCTCATCGATTTGCTCGAGTGGGCCCAGCAATGTCTCCATCGTGAGACTTGTTGTTACTGTGTTTGGCATATCGGATACGTCATGGGGAGCTTGCCAGGCTTTGCCGTGCAGGCAGAATACTCTCAGTAGCTTGCCGACTCTCTGAGAGGGGAAGAGGAATCAAACCCGGCTCTGCCGGGCCAGCAGTGCACAAGGCAAACACCCTACCCACTGCTATCACTCCAGCACAATATAAAGAATAATAACATTTCATATGTTATTTTGTACATAATAGTTATAAGTATAGACATTTATAATTGATAACTATTAGTTGCTTTCCACTGAAACTTTTACCTGTTAACATTCTGCCTTTAGTAATTAAAAGAGGCCTGTTTTGGAGCAATAGTACAGCGGGTCGGGTGTTTGTCTTGCACATGGCCAACCCTGGTTCAATCCCTGGCATCCCATATGGTCCCCCATGCTCTGCCAGGAGTAATTTCTGAGTACAGAGCCAGGAGTAACCCCTGAGCATCGCTGGGTGTGATCCAAAACACACACACCAAAAAAAAAAAGGAAAAGGGAGGCCTGTCTTTTACAGTTGTGTGGCCATCAGAATTATTTCCGATCTTTGGATTTTTTTTTTCTGTGATCGGTGAGAAATGAATATAGCTATCTTTTCTCTCTTTTATTCAGATGGCACTACACTAATATGCTACTTGGCATCCATTTTCAATTAACACTATACTTGAAACATTTTTTCTGTGTTGCCACATTTATTTTATTCTTATGGCTGGGAGCAATTCCACTGTGAAGTATAGATACAGTCACCCGGGTGGAAAAGGAAGCATGTTCAGTATATATACCCTATATGGTAGCAAGAGACTGGCACAGCATCAAGCTTGTTAAATAAGATTGGTCAAATAATTTATGATTAATCCTTTTAGTTGCTTTTTCTAGCAGTCAGATAGCTTTTTAAATGGTCCCATCCCACACAACTAATTTTAATCGTGATTCTTTATGCTTTAAAAAATTTCATTTAAGACTTTCTAATTCCTAGATTCCAAAAATAGACACATATTCAAATGTGAAGTGTTTCAAGTAAGCATTGCATCCAAATTTCCCATTAGATCTTTGCTTTGTTGCAAGAAAATTTTCAGCTTTTTCTATCTAGTTGCATTTTTAAAAGATTTTCTTTATATTAGTAAAAATTCATTTAATCTCCTCTTACTTGCTTTTGCTAAATAATAAGGTTTCTTTTTTTTTTCTGAGTTGAGTAAATTCTGCCACCTTTTTGGTGTTTTCTGTTAAAATATGAATCTCAAGTAGATTAGATTCTCCATCATAAAAATCATTTATTTCACTTAGTTTTTAATTTAATGCGCTTACTTTTATAGTTGGAGATTGAACCCAGAACCTCACACATGCAATTCAAGTGCTCTACTGCTGAGCCACATCCCCAGTCCCCAAAATCATTTATTTTACATCAAAGGTTACCTTCACCAGTATCTTGAACTTAATATTCTAGGTCCTGAAATCATAATTGCCAGCGCCCTTTTACTCACAGTTCAGCCAACCATGAACAAGCCCCTTGATGGGACCAAGATGGGAACACTAATCTTTCCGTCGTGTTCCGTGACACTCTTTGATAGTTATTTTTGCTGATGGTGAAAGGTCTAGCTGGGCTGACATCTGCTCAGTTCTTATTCTTTTGCTTTGTTCATGGCAAAACACAGAAGGTAAAGGTAAAGGTAAAGGCCCTCCCGTTGATCGTCGATTTGCTCGAGCGGCCCAGTAACGTCTCCATTGGAGACTTTGTTGTTACTGTGTCTGGCATATCGAATACTCTCGGTAGCTTGCCGGGCTCTCCAAGAGGGGCGGAGGAATCGAACTCGGGTCGGCCATGTTGGCCGCTTGTAAGGCGAACGCCCTACCCGCTGTGCTATCGCTCCAGGCAAAACACAGAAATTGGTTCTAATTTCTGAATAGAACTTTGGGATTGGGGAGGAGGAGAGAATGACATCCCCAAACAGTTGGGAGGCGGAGGGGGCATGGCAGGGGAGGGCAGAGACAGGGACCCAGAGACACTCAGCCAGTTTGGTCGATGGTTCAGTGCTAGGAGGAGGAAGTACAGATCAGGAGCTGCTCTACCTGATCTACCTGTCCTCAGCCAGGGCCACCCTTCTGGACACTCAAGGCCTCCACCCAGCCACTGCAGAGGCCACGCACCCTAACTGCTGTAACCCCTATAGTGTCTCCCTAGCCCCGAGAGAATCTCCTAGAATTCAGCCCTGTGGGGGCACAATGTTAGAGTCCGAGGCAAAACAATGTCCTGGTCTGCTGTACATGTCCTAGAACCTCATGACTCCATATCTGTTAAGCCTCTGATGCATGCCCAGGCACTGTCCGAGGTGCTGGACATACAGTGATGAGTGCCCCGTTCCTCTTGCATTAATATTAAGCTGATCACACTAAGTCCTACCTTTAGGACCTTCCATGCTTAATTCTTTACTTGTTGTCTAGTTGTGTTTCAACTCTTATAAAATGTATTTCTTCCTTCCCTGTAGATCATTTCAAACAGGGCTTCTTAAACTTTTTCCAGTCACTACCCCCTTTTGCCCAAAAAAAAGCTATATAGGCAAGTGCTGCCAGAAACACCTCGAATTCACTACACGGTTGAGTTTGCATTATATTTTTGTTGTCATGCATTTAGAAACCCTTTACCATTGCCAGATTTTCCTCATCCCCCACATTTAATTAAGTAGCAGCTCACAGTTTAAGAAGCTCAACTTCAGGACTGGAGAGATGGCACGAAGGTCAAGATGGTTGTCTTTTTGCCCCCAGTCCTGGCTTGGTCGTTGGCTTCACATGACTGTGTACCACTGGAGTCCCCTGAACCCTGCTCAGACCCTCACACTGAACCAGTGGTATGGTTGGCTGAGAATCACCGGTGGGGTCTCCAGACTTCCTGACCACCACTCAGGATGATCCCTTCACCAAAACATAACAGGGACCAGAAAGATAGTACAGCATGAACAGTTGACACGAATTCAGGCCCCAGCGTATGGTTCCTTGAGTGAGTCTCCACTAGGAGTGATCCCAGAGCACAGAGCCAGGAGTAAACCCTGAGCACCACCAAGTGTGGCCCAGAAACCAAAAGGACAAAAGGAAAAAAGCAGAGACTGTGAGATGCGGGTCTGTCTCCCCCAGTGTTCATGGAAAGCGAATTAGAGCCACAGAGATTGGGACCCATTCAGTGACGGTTACATGGATGGTCTCAGGTGCACAGCTAAGCAGTGCCAAGGCCAACAGCTCTGCCAGCTGTTGTCCTTCTATCTTCCCAGGAGGGACGTAAGCCTTGGACACACCCGAGGTTCACCGCTTTTTCAGTTTAGTGGCTTCACTACTGAGGATTGCCCAGGATGGCGAGTTTGAAAGACCACTATTTAGATGCAGGAGGGGGGCACAAATTGCCAAAAAGCCCTTCTATGCTTCCCCCCCGCCCCATCCCTTTTTTGTTCTGATCAATAGAAAGAAAAAGCACTAAAGAAATAGAAATGATGCTGTCAACTAAAAGCAGCCAGTATCTGGAATTACATCGTTTGGCAATTAAAAAAAAAATCTTGGTAATACCCTTTATATCTAAGACAACAATAATCCAGGAAAAAAATAAAAATATTAAATTTGTAAAAAAAATAAAAGGCTTACATTGAAGCAAAATAAAAAATACATACAGGCTAAGAAACATAACTAGTATAACTTTTTAAAAATAATGTAAGTAGGAGAACAGAACAGTGAAAAATAAAATTAATGAAACATGGGATATAATAAGCAGGCACTTCATCAGCTTCGGGTCGTGATGCCCAGGGTGGGGAACACCAGCCTAAGAATGATGCAGGCTGCTGGCTGGATACTGGCCCCCTGCCTGTGGTTGCAGACTGTCTTCCCAGAAGGCCTTGGCAGGGAGGGGCCTCAGGAGCAGGGCTGGGGCTTTGCTGTGAAGGAGGGGACCAGCATCAGCTCCAGAGTCTCTGCTTCTGCTGGAACCAACCATAGAAGCTGTACTGCCAGCTGCTTTGTGTATTGGGGTCTAGAGAGAGTTCAGAGGAGATTCTGACAAGAATAACATTCTTATTTCCGTGAGTCTCTCATAATTGTCACTTCCTTGGTCATGAATGTAGGCAACAGGTCATAGTGTTACTCAGAGCATCTGCAGCCACCTCACCAGTGAGAACCATTGGTTTCTCATCTCTCATTAGGTTTGCTGCAGACAGACTCTGTGACAAATCGTGTGCATCACCGTGTGTGATGGTTAGATGTACTCCTTCCTTTGCTTGCCAGCTGCTAGCCAGTGTGACTTCATGCATTGATAAAATAGCACCAGCGACCACAGCTCGGGC